TATGTAACACAAGATTAAGCATTAATGAGGCACGAATAAAATTGTTTATCTAAGCCCCAATCTAAAATTAAACAGAAGCTGATGCTGAAAGCTCACACTGCACTCATTTTGTCTCCTAACATTAACAGAGCACAGCTTATTTAGTCTCCAAGTCCCAACAGCATTTAATTTGGAGAGAAGGATTTTACTATCTGAAGAGAGAATATTTTTGCTAAAGCAGGAAGTGATGCATATTTAGTTCTTATGTGCATAAATACAGCACATTGCAGGTATCTGATCTAAGGAAGACAGCTGATATTCACGATTTCTGTTCAGACTGTGTTTTAAAGCTAAATACAGAAGCACCCACCCAGGGGCAAGACCTTTCGATCGCACCCCGCCGTCTCTCGCTAAGCAGCCAAACCAAAAATCACACACCAAAGATACCTATGGGGGCAACGGGGAAATTCAAAACAAAATTAGACCAAGGTCTGCATGCCTCCACAAAGATTCACTGTCCTCTTTTTAGACTTCTGACTAAGCAAGCAGCTCCACAAGGCTCACGAAGGAGCTTTGGCCCACCAGATAAAACAAGCAGGCAACGAGACCACGGGCACAATCACTGTACCATTAAACCTTCCCTGCAGAACACAGCAGGAGTCAGCTGAGAACGGCAAAACATTCAGATAGGTGTCATACCCAGTTTTAAAAATAGACGGAAGCGGTCAAAAAGCACTGGGGCCTATTCCGGTGGCAGACTCAGTGCTTCCAAAGCCTCAAGGCCGTTGCAGCCTATGTCACAGCTACCGACTGATACAACACGGTATTATCCTCAAACCCACACGCAAGGTGCCAAAGGCACGGTCACCTACAACCCCCTCCCTTTCGAGAGGCGAACCACCCGGCACAGGACGGGTGAATTCTGCCGGTCAGACAACTCACCTGACAAAGCAGGCTGCAGAACTCCGGCCAGAGGAAAACAAATCTGTTTTTGACCGGGCCCACAGCCTTAAATAGTTCAAGCAAACTGCAGCTGCACCCCGAGTGAAGCTTTCAGAAGCGCTGGTGAGCGACCGGCGCAAGGCGAGGTGGAGCGGAACAGGACCCAGCGCTGAACCTGAGCCAGCCGACACCACGACCTGGCGTCCTCCTCCTCCTCCTCTGGCTGGACATGATTGCTCTGCACAACCTCACGTCCATTCCACGTTTCTGTTTACCCTTTGCACGTCACTAACACAGAGTTAAGCATTTACAAGAACAGGGTAAGTCATTTCCCGACCTTGTCGGTGTTTAAGTACTTCTATCCCAAGGCCTAACACAGCACTGGTGTTCCTAAAACTCTCAAATTCAAGTAGCTCAGCATAATCACTGAAAGAATTCAGAGCAGGAGAATTTCAAATACTTTGAAAATCCCGTATTATCACAAAGTTCTAGCAAATTGAGCCAAAACAGGGGAAAAAAAAAAATAAATCACATTTAAAACCAAATCAGACATATAAGAAAACCTGTCAGCTGCGTACCTTGCATTCTCACAACACAGGAATTTAAATGAAAGTTATTAATGACAACTGTGCATGTCACATAGGTGCCTCCAAATTTTTTTTCTCGGCTTAACCACACAGAAGAATCAAAACTGCTGCTAAGCAGGAACCAAGGCAGAGCAGGCTGCTTCACCAGCGGTGCCATTCAGCTGCTGCTCCAGCTGACCAAGGGAAAACTGCTCGGAGAAGGGAAAGGAAGACAGATGCATGGGAACAGAGGAGAAGGGGGATTTATGGCAGAGTTCAACAGAAACCCAAGGAAGTTTCAGAAGTTTTATTTAAGCTCATCTACCTGGAGGCACTTTTTCTCCATTGTATCACAGGGTTAACACCTACTGACCCAGCCTTACAACAACTGGCCTTCCTCAGCCCATTCTGGCATTCCCGTTTCAGCAGAGGGGATGTTCAGGTAGGAGCTGATTTCAGCTCCTGCCCCTCTGGCTTACACCAGCTTGAGGAGAACACCGCATCTAGTTACACTCATACCCATGGGGAATGCCACTCAGACATCAATTTTGAAATAAACTGGAAGAGAAAAGACCTAAACACACACCCAGCTTTGTTACGCAGTGAGTATTTTCTTTCATAAAGATTTTTTTTTTTTCCTTGCTGGTTATTCATTTAGAAGAAGCAATTAAAAAAAAGTTGGAAAACTATGTTAAGCTAATTACAACACACATTGACAAACACAGGGTTTTCTTAAAACACACAGTACATTAACTGTGGAGAGAAAAAAAAAAAGGCACAGCTCAAGTAGGACATTCCTTAACACGCTCGAGAAAACTTAGTACAGCGTGGCCTAATTCTCATCTCTCACCCACAGCCACTTTACACCTTCCAATATTATAAAAGAAATACAATGTCACATTCACCTCTATATTCTGACTTCCTGGACAGCAGCATCAGCTTGATTTAATATAAAATAGGCCTAGTCTCTACAAGAATTTTGGGTGTCTGTTCTCTTACTTCTCTTCCACTACTGCAGTGCTCCAACCTCCGGACTTAAGGCGAAATTGGGAAGGGTCCACCCCCAGCTCAGTGCCTAGAAAAGGCATTATACAAGAAGCACGATACGAAGGAGATTTAACTTTAAGTGGGTTTTGCAGAGAGGCAAAAACCCATGCTCCCCTCCCCACAGGCCTCAGTGACTGGTAAGGTAAACTAATAAATTAGAAACATGCAGGGTGTATTGACCTACAGCCTGGCTTCCATTTAGGGCGAGTCACTTCACGAATGCCCCTGACTCATTTTCAAGCAGCTTTTGCAGAACTTGGGAGTTGCCGTAGTGCTTCTGCGTCTGCACAATAATTTTTAAGAGTTTCACCTCATGTTAATACGGTGGCAAAACAAGAAAATAAGGCCTTTTTTCTAGTGTTTCTGGAATTGCTAGAGGGTTACTTCACACCGCAATAGAAAAATGGCAGGCAAAGAATCTGAAATTATTCTGGTGACGAAAAAATACAGACAAATTAATTCCACAGCCTTGTAATTTACATTATTCATTATTCCACTTTAAGGAGGAAAAGCAATCCTGGATAGTCAAATATTATTTACTGCAGCCTTTACTCTGCATGCCTTACTACAGCAAAACTGCTGTGAATTTTGCCTGAAAAAGATCGGGAATTAAAAGAAAGCAGAAGTGAGACCTGTGGGCAAAAATAGGAAACGGAGATTAAACAACCCGTTGTAGGTCAGAGTTTGTTTGTAGATCAGTTACCACTAGGGGCTAAACCAGCCCGCTCAACGCCGTCCACACGCTGCTTCCCAGGCGCTCAACCTTCATTTTCAGTCCTCTCTACACTAAAAATTTTGACCTAACGATACAAAAATGTAACACCTGAAAAATAACAGCTTACCTAAAGTTTCACACCACTTGCAAGCTTGCAAAACTTTTACAGAAAGCCTCGGGCCTGACATCCAAGTTCAAACATCGAAGTCAAGCAGTACAGACAGGGTCAGACACCCGCCCCCAGCTCTCAGTTCGTCAGCTTTTTTTTTTCCTTTCTCCTGCAAACTATTGTTCTCTATCAAAAAGAGACATTTTGTATTCACAAGCAAAATTCATACTGGCTGTAATTCAAACTTCAGAAGAGTCCTTTTGCCTCTCAGCAAGTTTTACCATCAGAGAAATAATTTCTAAAGTAAACTCCGATTTCTTCTGAATACAATGCTAGGAGATATTCTACAGAAAAGCGGCAGGACTGCTTAAGCTGGCTATGTGCTGGATCTCTCAGATGTTGCTAAGAAGCATACTATTTTGGCATTCCTTCTCGGCTGTCAGCTTTCCTACACCGGTCCTTCATGCCTCAAAATCCAACCGAATACTAAAGCAAAGTCTACCCACACTTGATCGGTAATTAAGTTTTCCCATCATGCTCAACAGAACCAGCGAGCACACACTCCAACGGAGGCACTCCAGGCACCACTCCATCCTCCCCTTTCCAGCTGACTTACGCGGTGTCACTCCGCACCAATGACAGATTGCAATGGCACAGCATCGTCTCCCAAGAACATCTCGGAAGAGAATGGAAGTGTCCTACAGTACGTGATAGGTTTTAAAGTATTTTTACAGTAACGTTCTTTCCCACTGAACATCCAAATTCCACACACACAGAAGTCTAAACAACCAGTTACGCTTTAAATAAATATTTTGCTGATCACGAACACCTTGCTGGAAAACAGCCTAACTCAGTTTTCATTGATTTATCTCCCTTCTAAATTCAGAACAAACATGCAAACCACCTTCCAAAACCACCCTCCCAGCAGTTAAAACAACACCTGCAGAACAGAAACTGAAGCTTCTACAGAAGCTCAGCAATTAGGACTAATGGAAAAGTAACTGGATTCCCAAGGCTTCCCAAACCCTCTTCCCTCTGGAGAAGTCAACCCCTCCTCCCTGTCCATCCTCCTCCCAAGCACTTGCCAGGATTTTCAGCAGAATGACAGCTGGGTAAGCTCTGTGAAGTTCAGCAGAGTAATCAGCCGCGCCTCGATTCAGAAACCGAAGTTCCAGGCTCTGCTGTCCACGCTTCAGGCACGTGAAGAGTTAAACACAACCAGCGAATTCTGCAGGTCGCAGGAGCAGCCGGCGCATACCTCAGTCTTCCAGATTCAATTAGATTTTGTTTTGGTTTGGGCTTTCTTTAATTACCCACTGCCATTTGAGCCCAACTGGGTGACATAAATGTATTATCCCATCATCATGTCAGAATTTAAAATTAGATTTGGTCTCCATAAATAATACACTTCATCCAACCTCGGTGACTCCGTCCGGCAATGACGACTATTTTATGTAACACCTTTCACCCACTGAGAGCTGAAAACTGCCCTAAAAATTCCAGCTACCTTTGCTGGCTGGGGATTTCTCTTCCATTTATCTGCGGAGAATTCAGTTCGGGGGGAAAAGGAAGCAGTTTCGTAAGCTCAGAGGCTGAAGCAGCAAGAGGAAAAGCAAATTACAGAACGCGCAAATGTACTTACGGTCTCCTTATTCGGAAGCAACTCCTTTCGGATCCTGAAGAAGTTCTTGCCGTACTGCCTCAACCCCTTGATAAAACGCTTCTGCGATAAAAGATAACGAAAATAGCATGTCAGCAGCACGGAAAA